AGCATGTATAAAGTAAAGAGAATTGGTCCTAGCACTGATCCCTGTGGTACTCCACAGGTAACCTTTGAGCGTGTGGAAGATCTATTATTAACATGAACAAACTGAATTCAATCAGATAGATAAGATTTAAACCAGTCTAGTGCTGTTCCTTTAATTCCAATAAAATATTCAAGTCTTTCTAAAAGAATATTATGGTCATTATTTTCCTGTTATATGTTCACATTTATGGATTGCATCTATAAATAAACATATGACCTGACATAATCCATTATAGCAAACAACGGCTTAAATCATTTTGTCATCCAATCAGCGCCTCTTTAGTCAGAGGCTGCCTGTAGTGATTGTAAATGTCCAGCAGGTATCAGTATCCAGTTACAGTAGTGATAGTTTGCTAATGTGTGGAAACGCTTCATGAAACAAGAAGAGCTTTCAGCTGCGTTCGCTGCATTTAAGGACATTTTTTTCCTATAAAATAAAAGGACCGGTTCATTTGGTGCGCTCCTTTTTTAAACTATGCAATCAAACCACCCAAGGCTGTACTCCATAGAATGTTCTGGATCGGGGGTTAATAATACAGACTAAAAATTAACTCACAAATGGTACAAATTACTGTTTATTCATAACGGTAATAGTTTTAATATTAGCTGCAATGGAAAGTGATTCAGGGAAAACAAGAATAAAAACAGGAATATTTGGAAAAGAGACTTTCTGTAAAACCATTAAAGTCCTAGAAAAGGCAGAGATTTTTTTTTTGGCCTGTGTTTCAGTCATCTTTTCCTTACGGTTGTAAATCAGCTGCAAAAAATAAGGTTCAAATTGATGGAACATCCTCAGATGGACCCATCTCTGTGTCATCCCCTCTTGCTTGAGGCTGTCAATGATGGCCTTCTGGACAGCAGTCAGGTCAGCAGTCTGACCCATGGTTGGGGTGATGAACCAGGCTGGAAGTTTTAAAGGCCTCAGGAATCCTCTGCAGGTGTTTAGAGTTAATTTGTTGATTTAGATGATTAGGTGCATAGCTCGTTTAGAGACCTTTTTCATGATATGCTAATTTTGTGAGATAGGAATTCTGGGTTTTCATGAGCTGGATTCCAAAATGATCCATATTAAGACAATAAAAGACCTGAAATATTTCAGTTAGGGTGCAATGAATCTAAAATATATGTTCACTTTTTATCATTACATTCTGGAAAATAATGAACGTTATCACAATATGCTAATATTTTGAGAAGGACCTGTACATTTATACCTTAAAAAAATCCCAACACACACTCCCCACCAGGGGAAGCAACCCACCCCCTGCATAAAGAACTTTCTCAAACTTGAACATTTGGAGGAAAAACCACTTGAGTTCATCAAGGCCGTTCCCCGTTAGGTTAATATATCTTCCACTGGCCAGATGGATCTCCTAATAACAGCAGTCCTCCCCTTGAAGGAGGCTGTGTGACTCATTCTCATCTCTCATGACCGTTTGGAGCCTGTGAGGCTAAGAACAGACAAACATTTTTTACTTCACACATTAGGTTTGATTCTGCAGCACCTGGTCGTATTGGAGGAGACAACTTTGTTGGTAAGCAGTTGTTGGTTAGTGGAAGAAAACTAATATGAAAAACCACCAGCAGTTTCAATAAAAACAAAAACAACAGTTTGCTGCTCATCTTTTATTCAGGCACAACAAGAAACCTCCTGTATTCCACAAAAAGGCATGTCGGTGCTCATTTCTAGTCTCATGTGTACGGCACCACACCCACCACCAACACCAGCATCCCCCCCTCATCGTCATGGTTTCTACGGCAGAAAGCTGCGACCCATGCAGCTGCTGCTAGGTTACCAAACGCCTTCCAGAAAATCGATCAGGAACATTGCATAGAAGTCATTGGGAGGTCAAACCTACAGGCCGTGCAGGTGAAGTGTAGCATGGTTTTATGGCGACTGCTTTTAACTTTGATCTAAAAAAAAAAAAAAAAATGGCTTCTGTGTGACAGCACCGGATACTAGCGCATAGTTTTAGCCTTTTGCAGAGGGGAAAACCAGAGTAGGTCCTGAAACCTTAGTGAAACACCAACCCTCATTCTAATCTTTCATTCCTGATAAAGCAAGAAGCCTGAAAATGTGCTGTACTTCCATGTGCTGCCATAGATGGCGCCGCGGTGCAGCCTGAGCCACACCTGGTCTCCTTGGAAGAGTGGCAGAATGGCGTGGTTGCTGGCGGTCTCGTGGTCGGGGGCTCCGTCGTTAGCATACGCAGAGACCATCACCTCCTCGTTTCGCATGAGGTTGACGTAGAGGGGAACGTTGATGGCGAGCTTCAAGATGTGAAAGATGAACACGTAGGTCCCGTTCACAGGACAGGTGAAGCGGCCGATGTGGGCGTCGTACATCTCCCCCAGGTTGCTATGCAGCTGGTCAAACACTATAGGCTGGTCAAGGTTTCCTGGTGCAAAGTTGGCGGTGCGAGAGGCAGTGAAGGCCACGCGCAGCGGCTGGGAGAGCGGGTAGAGAGGCATGGGGAGTAAGGCGGCAGGCGGATGGCTGTGCGGCGTCAGCGGCACCTCCACCGTCGACACGGACAGGGAATCCCCGTGACCCGAGTCCACCATGGTAAACGCTCCATCCCTGTCGGGGCTGCTCACCGGGGAAGAGTCACTCCAGGCTGCTGCACAAAGGAAATGAGGAAGTTAATATCGGTTCACAGAGCAGACGGTCAGAGGAACATTTCCTGTTTGGAATGCGGCAGAATTAAACCAACTCCTGAGTCACTGAGACCTCTTGGTTACTTCAGGGTCCGTCTTCTCTGCATCGGGCTGAATAGAGTTAATCAGCACCTTTATAAAACCCTAGACTTAAAAAATGTTCCAATAAAAAGTTCTAAAAGTTTATCTGAGTCGTCCTTTAAATCTAAACTTGACGAGTGACGCCATTGTTGCGTGTTCCTGTTAGAGATAAACATCTCAGCAATATTTTCTAGAAGAGGAGGCGTGTCTACTGTAGAAGGCACAGGTCGCTCTGTCACTACCCGATCTGTCCTGGAAGCGCCATTCATCCTCCGCGTGCCCGAACAGATACAGCTCGCCGAAAACTACGTAATAACGGTACTGAAAATACTTAAAACATTAAAGAATGTTCTACATCATATAGAAAGTATTGAACGCTTTCGATTCTCTCCATTGTATTGCGTGACGTCATCATGGGACATGCTCAGAGCCGTCACAGTAAAGTTCCAAAGGCTAAGAAGATAGGAAGATAATCTGTTCGTGCATGCGTAAGACAGATGGCGCTCTAGGGGCGGATCGGGTAGAGACGCCCTCATCCTGCCCAAGATAAAATGACACATAGCAGAGCAGATGGAGGCGGGGCCAACAGAGGCAGGTTAGCCAACATCGTCATTACCCGATCTGTACCATCAGCTCATCTGTGCTACCCGATATACACCCAGTTCACCCTTGATTTTACTTTATAAAAGACCAAAACTAGTCTTTAGTGATTTAAGGATAGAAATAAATACTTCTATAATTACAGTATTTATAGTCACCTGGATTAATATCTGCTTGTGCAGATTGGGGTTTCGCGGCACAGATCTGGTAGTGAATAATAACAATCATGACTGATCTTAGCTAATGTTAGCCAACGTGAGTGGCTAGCACAGCCTCTAGGAGTTGCTCTCACAGCTATTAGAAGAAAATGCTATCGTTTTCTCACAGGCTGGAGGTTCCCGCTGCTTATTCTGTTCCAACCATACTGTTGAAACTAGGTGCAGATCTACAGTCAGGCCTAAAGTGTCTGCTGGCTAAGCCGTTACTCTCACTGAGAAAATGGTTTGTTTGTGTTCGTACCATTGCAGCCATGTCTGCCTCCTCCTCGTCTGAACATGTGCTGATATCCAGAGTCCTGGGGGAAAAAAAAAAAAAAAAGGCAGATTCTTTAGGAAGAACTCCACAGAAATCCCTGCCTCACACTGTAATTAGCATTTCTTCTCAACCTTAAACTATGTTAACATGAATATTAGGACGTCATCTGTTCCATCTCTGGTTGAAGCAATAACCAACAGCTGCAGTGAAGCAACCGGGTCCCCTGGCCGCGGCGACCGGGTCCCCTGGCCGCGGCGACCGGGTCCCCTGGCCGCGGCGACCGGGTTCCTGACCAGATCATTGTAAAGAGCTGATTACATCTAAAAGCTTCTCTGTTTTAATAGTTGTGGTGACTTCACTGTTCTTCTGAATTTAGGAGCAGAAAGTTTGAAAAGATGCAGTTAAAAAATTACTCACCATCAGAAATTCTAAGTAATCATTTGTTATGCAATTCAATTCATTTCAGTTTATTTATATAGCGGAAATTCACAACACAAAAGCACTTTACAGTTCGCCAGATCATCCAGTCAGATTGATTCAAAGTTTCTATCTAAGGAAAACAGTTGATTGCATCGACTCATTGACTCTTCAGCAATCCCTCACACTAAGCATGCTTGTAGCAACAGTGGAGAGGAAAAACTTATGAGTTCTTATCGTTTTTATTTTTTATCAGTTTGTTGAAATGTAACTCAAGAATGCATTCACTGAATCCGTTCCAGTCTTTAGTGAACGGATCAGTTTGGAAGTAATGAACGTGAACCACAGCGACGGTCACTGAGAATAATGAGCGCCACACAGCTCATAATGGCATTCAATTAACAACACTATTCATTGGATAAAGTCAGGTCAATTATTTCGGTAAACATCCTGACAGAGCAGCATGTCTCCTGCTAGTACCAGTCTGCTCCATCAGACTCATCTGCTGGGATTTCTGACGCCAGTTTAGCAGAGCGCTTGGCTGAGTGCACAAAATGTAAGTTTATTCTTTTGTTAGTTGATCAAACTGTTCTCACCGGGACTTAAACAACTCTGTACGTCAGCCACGCCCACTTTTAAATCAACACATGGAAATAAAGCATCCGAGCCATCTGTGGAAATATCTGCTACTAAATGAGGAACAGAAGAAATCCTTTGGATCCAGATCTTTTCAGCAGAACCTGAATGTTCCTAAAGCTCTGAGTCATCCATTAAACCTGGACTGCATCCAGGATGTTCCATTTCTTTCTATACATTATCACATTTAAAGTCGTAGGGAAACTGCTGTTCCAACCGTTGCATTACAGAATTCTCCCGAGTGGTGCACGACTTTACACAAGTGAATAAAGTGAATGTAATTGGTTGTTTATCAAGGGGGCAGGATTGTTGTGGCGGAAGGTCCGCAAGCAAGTTTAGCTGTGGCCGGTTTGTCGTAAGCATCTTGCTAACCAGTTAGCACTTTAGTGCTAATAGGTTCCTAATGGGTATTTCCATTGGGACCAAGTAACACTAAAAAGGTGAATTAGAAACCACACTGTCAATGAACGCTATGCACAGCTGTTGAAATAATTATGTATAAGATACTTAATGTTTGTTCCTATGATGTATAATGTGTGACATATTACTGTTCCAGAGAGGTGTTGCACAAGCAGTATAGGTCAACTTTCAGGAAGTATTGCTCAAGCTTAACCAAACCAGCCGTTCTTGGACCATTTGACTGCAAGACATTTAAATGCAAATAGACCTGTTCACTGAGACTGCAAATTGAATTGTCCATCTTGTTTCCCTTTCCTCTAATGCAACCTCAGCTTGTGTAACTAGGGACCCCCCTGACTTTAATAGTGAGGAGAAAGCTGAAGACTGGCAGAGTGGGGTGGAGATGTACCTGCACGGTCTCTTCCTACTCTCCTCGCGAGTAAAAAGAATTGAGTCTCCACCTTTCTTTCATTGTTTTACAGTGTTTTAGGTGTTAGACCTGACATTAAATTGTTGACACATTGTTGATTCCAGAGGATATGGGTGAAATCCAGAAAGACTGTGGCCACAGTAGGACCGTTAAGTCCTTCAGAACCTTTGACGGGACAGGATTCATCCCCGTTCCCTGGGAGAAAGGCACACAGGAGGACGGCAGAGTCCTGTAAATTCCGTGACTAGGTTTAAGGGAAAAGACCTGAAGGATTCTAGACCCTGTTCAGGCAAGATAAAATAGTCCTAATAGGGGAACAGACCCCCGGAATTGTCTCTAATAAAATAGGAAATGTATAAGGAAAAAAAAAAGGGAATTAACAGGGAAGTGAGTGTGTTGAAGCATTAGTACCACTAGGTACTAGTATTTCATATAAAAGCAACAAGAAAAGCAAACAATACGACCCTTGTGGATGCATGAAGGCAAGAATTAGAAAATTACCACAACGGTATCTTAAGTATTGTCCTGTTGAAATAAACCAGTGTTTTAGAATACCCTAGGTGTTACAACCACAGTGAACAGCAACTGCAGAGCTGACTGCAGCTGACAGCCAGGGCCTGATTGGTCTCCAGCAATATTAGGTTATAAACAAATGTAAAGAACCCGCCAGAAAACTACTTTAGTCACGCAAACTATGGTAGCGACCATATCAAACCCTTAACCCCCCAGGCAGATTCCAAATCTGTATCCAGACTTGGATGAAGTGAGTAAACCAGATCTTCCATTATCTACAGACCAACCAAAAGGATTTTATATATGCTGCAGAAGGTCGCAAATCCTGATGTAGGAGATCAGCAGCCTGAAAAGCTGCGGCAGACGCAGCCCAAAGTTTCCCGCAGGAGGGCGGATTATAGACATTTAGGGTCCATAAAATAAAAAACGGGAGAAAACGTAGATGAGTTCATTCATTTTGAAAAGGAGTATAGATTTTACAGCAGTATACCCTTTGCTGATGGAAATGAAACACCATGCCAGCAGCAACTAAAATATGTTAATGGAAAGTTTCGAGCCACATATCTCAGAGTGGGTTAAAAATAAATAATAAATTATTTAAACTGGCAAGGCCTAATGCAAGGGCGTAGGTTTGATTTCAACTTCAGAGGGACACTTTGGGTCTTCAGTTTCATTGGTCTGATGTCATTGGTCATATGCAAAAATATGCATGCTCTTTTTTTATGCTACATTAGCACTGGAGCTATAAGTGGAACCGACACTGAGCATTTAAAATATTAACTTCACAATACAAGTTGTAAATCTGGGCTGTAGTTACTCTGTGTCGCCAATTTCATTTATTTTATCTATGGATGAAACAATCATTTTAATCGATTATTTAAATAATCAACTAATTCATTAATTGATTAATCGTTAACTGGAGTATAGGGCCACTAAAATATGCCTTTAGTTGACAGAGCGACCCACTTAGAGCAGGAATTATACCAAGATTGTAAAAAAAAAAAAAAAGTAAACATTTTGCGTTTAAAAAANAAAAAAAAAAAAAAAAAACACAACTTAACATTTTCAGATTACTAACAAAGGTTAAAATTCATCTGAAAGATCATTTTCTCTACATATTCGATTCACTTTACATGTTCATCCAAGCTATCTGTGGAAATATCTGCTACTGAATGAGGAACAGAAGAAATCCTTTGGATCCAGATCTTTTCAGCAGAACCTGACTTGGCTTCACTGGACATCCATTAAACCTGGACTGTATCCAGGATTTTCCATTTCTTTCTATACATTATCACATTTAAAGTCGTAGGGAAGCGGCTGTTCCAACTGTTGCATTTCTGAATTCTCCCTAGTGGTGCCCGAATTTACACAAGTGAATAAAGTGAATGTGATTGGTCGTTTATCAAGGGGGCGGGATTGTTGTGGCAGAAGGTTCACAAGCAAGTTTGGTTGTGGCCGGTTTGTCGGAAGCATCTTGCTAACCAGTTAGCATCTTAGTGCTAATAGGTTCCTAATGGGCATTTCCATTGGGATGAAGTAGCGCTGAATTGATGACTTAGAAACGACACTGTCAATGAATGCTATGCACAGCTGTTGAAATAATTATGTATAAGATACTTAATGTTTGTTCCTACGATGTATAATGTGTGATATTACTGTTCCAGAGAGGTGTTGCACAAGCAGTATAGGTCAGCTTTCAGGAAGTATTGATCCAGCTTAACCAAACCAGCCGTTCTCGGACCATTTGAGTGCAAGACATTTAAATGCAAATTGACCTGTTTACTGAGGCAGCAAATTGAATTGTCCATCTTGTTTCCCTTTCCTCTAACGCAACCTCAGCTTGTGTAACTAGGGAAACCCCCTGACTTTAATAGTGAGGAGAAAGCTGAAGACCGGCAGAGTGGGGTGGAGATGTACCTGCACGGTCTCTTTCTACTCTCCTCGCGAGTAAAAAGAATTCTGACTCTCTGCCTTCATTTCATTGTTTTACAGTGTTTTAGGTGTTAGACCTGACATTAAATTGGTCCTTCGAGGCGGATGCCAACACATTGTTGATTCCAGTGGATGTGGGTGAAATCCAGAAAGACTGTGGCCACAGCAGGACCGTTAAGTCCTTCAGAACCTTTGACGGGACTGGATTCATCCCCGTTCCCTGGCTTCCCTGGGAGAAAGGCACACAGGAGGACGGCAAAGTCCTGTAAATTGTGTAAATAGGACGGCGGAGTCCTGTAAATTCAGTGAGTAGGTTTAAGTGAAAAACCTGACTGAGGGAAAAGACCTGAAGGATTCTAGACTCTGTTCATGCAAGATAAAACAGTCCTAATAGGGGAACAGACCCCTGGGATTGTCTGTGATAAAATAGGACATATATAAGAAGAAAGGGGGGGGTTAACGGGGAAGTGAGTGTGTGGAAGTATTACTACCGCTAGGTACAAGTATTTCATATAAAAGCAACAGGAGAAGCAAACAATACGACCCTTGTGGATGCATGTAGGCAAGAATTAGAAAATTACCACAACAGTATCTTAAGTATTGTCCTGTTGAAATAAACCAGTGTTTTTGAACACCCTAGGTGTTACAACCACAGTGAACAGCAACTGCAGAGCTGACTGCAGCTGACAGCCAGGGCCTGATTGGTCTCCAGC